ATCACGTGGTATATTGGTAGAACTACTTTTTAAACTATCGTCATTCTTATTTAAAAGTTGTTATCTGAACTCGGGTACCTCACTAGATTGTTCGTTCACTTATTATTTGAGATGTAAATTCTTTATATCAAAAGTAAATGTAAGAAGAGAAGGATCAGAGAATTCGTGAAAAGCTTCAATTTCAAAATGTTAGAATTTTTAGTGTGCTCGGTTCACGCCTAGATTATATTGCGACTTTCTAGCTTTACTGGTGGATGAAGACCTCAGGTGCCCTTTCGTGCATTAATTCAGACACGAAAGGGCACCTGAGTAGAACCACCTACGTTCTATAAACTAGAAATGTTGGAATAAAAAAAATAAAAAATCAATATGTATTATATATGTATGGTATACAAAAAAAGCTAGAATTATTGTAATTTCATGCAAAGATTTAACGCCGTCACTCATCTCTACTTCTCTCGTGAATTTTCTTTATCATAAAGTTTCCCTTTGAGTTAGATTTTTTCCGTCTTTAGAGCCAGGTGCATATCGATTGTTCGTAATTGATTGCCCGAGGAACGAATTCGAATGGTGTGACAATAAGCTTTAAGCTTCCTGTACGCAATCAATATGAAACAGAATACCTTATATACGAGTAGTTACTTGGATGAACCTGAAATACATATGATCAAGGTGAGCCTGCAAATTTTAACGCAAATTGCTAGAATGTCATTGAAAAGGTAGCCCGGATAGTACTGTCCATGAAAGTTATAAATCAACGTAAAACTGCATTTTTAAGACATTTTTGGTGACTCATCATAGTTCATTGTCCTATTTTTATATGAATATGTTCAATTATTTTATGGTTTTGTCAATACATTTGTGGTTTTATTTCTTTCTTTATTTTCCGTGGAGAAAAAAGAAGGAAGTTATATTTTCCTTTAATGTTTTCTTCTCTACAAACACTAGCATGTATAATCATTTAAAATACAATTTCACGATTACACCAGCCTGGCGAACACGATATTTATTCTGTAAAGTTAAAACTCGACTCTGATCTTTCTCTTTTATTCGGACTCTATTGTTTACATATAAAACACGTTTTGTTTGTTTAAGTCGAAGCGTAACTTTTCATGATTTGTGTACAATACAAACAATTATTTAATTTAGTGAAACGTCACAGTGAATCATCTGCTAGGTTAAGAAAAGGACACAGGTAACCAGTATCAAAGATTGTTTTGTCTTGTAAATGTCGTCTGGTAGTATATCTATAACCTTGCCCTATTGGCGTGAAATGACCCACATGCGTTATCAGCAAAGATCATGATCTGCAAGGTTGCTATTTAGTTAATATATATTTTGAAACTTTTTATCCTAAATAAATTATATTAAATACATTTGTCTAGACTGAAAAGCGGAAGATAATTATTGGGCTAAAGGATAATCTACCGAAATGCAAATGGTGAATAAAATAAATATGTGATAAATCACCATTCCGCGTTGTTAGGTTCGACAAGAATTTTCTTAACTTCAACGAGGCAAACCGTGCCTTGGTGTAAATTTGGACACTTTAAAAAAATATATAGTAGCTTTTAATTATTAGATGTGGATGATCCTCTTAAAATATTCGATGTTTCACATAATTCAAAGGACAATAAAGTTTTTAATACGTTTTATTACATCCTTTTCGGTGGTTTATAGAAATATATCAGTGATTTAAAACTGGTAATTTCACTGTTTCAAACAGTGAAATTACCACTTTCACTGTTTTGAATTTAAGCCCCTTACGTTGTTTCAGTGAAATACCAGCGTACACAGAACTGAGTACCAACTTAATGACGTGACGTCGTAAATGACGTCACGTTGTATTATTTTTTGGCGCGCTTTTCATTCAGTATTAGGTTTAATGTCTTTTTAAAACGTTTCTTTGCATGTAATAAAAAGAAAATTTGTTTAGTTTAGTGTAAGATCGAAATATATTTCACCTTGTGAACACCAAAAGTTCATATTTCACTCGTGGCTGCGCCACTCGTGAAATATACCTTATGGTGCTCACTCGGTGAAATATATTCCGATCTTACACTGAACAAAACAAATATCCTCTATATTGTATTTATTGATGTCGACGAAACACAAAAGTCGCACCCGTCGTCAATCTCACGAATGATCTCTAAAAGTAAACACCTTCCTTGAAATTATTTATAATGTAAGTTAAAGTATAATTTCACAGCAGCCGTATGCGCTTACTTATTTCTTAAAGTTTGATCTACTATAAAATATTTTTGTCCGTTTACTTACCAAGTTACTCGTTACGGCCATAGCTTTGAAGAGATTGTGCGTTATTTTTGTACGATGTTTACGTTATTTTCGACTTCCGCCGTTACTGGATAAACACTGCGTGACAGTTCACATAATGACATTCGATTGCTTGAAGAACGTGGTATCCAGCTTATCAAATGTCCTGAACGCGTTTCTGCCAAGGAAATGTTCTTCTTTACCTTTGTAAATGACCTTATATAACAGTCACCGATTATTATATAGTAAACACGTTTTTGGCAGTTTTTAATTACCTTTTACTTTTTATGGAAAGTTTGGTAATGAATATTTTGCCAGATGCCAGAAAAAATGAAAGCATCTGGATATAGCATGTTCATTAATGGTACAAAAGTAACATTCCTTTTACAGGAGGGTTTCAAGAAAAGATTAAATATTTCCTCCTGTATATATAACGGGCAAACTGTTTTAATAAAATTGTAATCAGGAATAAAGAATATGTGAGAAGCTAATCACCTGAAGAAAAAAATATGAATATGAAAATAATATATCAGAATGAAAACAAAAGTGGTATTTTGACTTCCTTACAAAATTGATATATTATATATAATTATATAGTGTACTAACTGCCAATTCACAAAGAAAGCCCACGATGGCCCAATTATGAAATCAATTAGTAACTTTTTGGAACTTGTAACAGGACAACACAAATATTAAGCTTTTGAAACATACAATGAAATAAACTAATAAACTACAAAAGTAAGTAAGCAAGCTTAATGGGCATTGAAAGTATGAGACGTGATTATAGCACTAGCACACTGAATATAAATAATAAATCGGTGTTATATAACATTTAGCAACATGATGTTATAAATGCGTACAAATATGTCATTTAGTATACACCCATCTTTGCTGAAATACAAATTTGTCTTATAAATGTACCTTGAGATATCTTAAAAAATCATAGAAGCTTTTACAGGTTTACATGCTACAGGTGATTAAACCATTTAATGTAACATCAGGGTGCGGTCTCACTTACTCCCGGCAGAGCCCAGGACCATCCCGGTAAGTTACCGGGACGATTCATTGTAAGTTACCGGGACAATCCGGGGTGGAATTATTGTTGCAGTCACTCTAACCCCGGCTTACCACCCATGATGCGCTCCGGATCATCCAGGGAGAGCCCAGGCGAAAATACGTTTCATGCCGGTGCTTCCCCGGTCGTTCCCGGATGACGCCGGAAGAGCCCCGGTTGACCCAGGCAAAGCCCCGGTCGATCCAGACAGAGCTCCGGCAGAGCCCATGACGATCCAGGACGATTCCCGGTAGAACCCCGGTGGATTGAAAACGCGCGAAAATGATTACATTAATACATAATTTTTATTCAATATAATATCTATTGTTCCAGAATAGTAATTCATGATGATTGTCTGAAAAATCCTTATGCAAGACTGGATAGAAGGGAAGTGCAATCACCGCAAATTGTCGTGATTCTTTTGAAATGAACCAAGCTTTGCCGGGGCTCTACCGGGATCAGCCTTAGCTCCATCGTCATCCTCCGGGGCTCTGCCGGCATCCTCCGGGGCTCTGTCGGCATCCACTGGGGCTCTGCCGGCATTTACCGGGGCTCTACCGAAGCTCTACCGGCTATATCATACCCCGGATCATCCTCGGTTTGTGCCGGCAGAGCCTTCCCCGGTGTAAACCCGGTCGTTCCTGGCAGAGCTAAGGATGAAGCCGGCAAAGCTATACATCCCGGATCATCCTGGACCACCCCGGCGAAATTAAATATTTTATTTCATCCGGGGTCGAATGCCGGATGTTCCCGGATCATCCAGGGCGTTGCCGGCAGAGTAACGGATGTACCCCGGTTGTTCCCGATCGTACCCCGGTCGTTCCCTGATCACCCCGGACGTCTACCTGGGCTCTGCCGGGATGTAAGTGAGACTGTAGCTTTAGGCTTTAAAATAGGACAAAATGTAACAAATAATGGCACGCTAAGTAATAGAAAGAGCACCGAAACACGAGGCTATCTGATTTGTACGAGGGGGCGTAGTGTTTTGGTGTTCTTTCTCTTTTGTATCATAGTCAAACATTACAACACAATCCCTGTTGCCAGAATATGAAACCCCAGAAAAAAGTAACAAGTAACCAATGAACGAGCATTTGAATATGATATTTCTGCCGCTTTCTATGCCGTCACAATAAGTAAACCCCAGCAAAAATGAGCCAATCAACGGGCATTATCTGGAGTGCGCGTAACTGATACACTCCAGTTACCGCACTGTGCATGTATATCTATCTATACGATTTAACTCTGACACTTTTTCAACAGAAAGGTCCCCAAACTATGATGCAAGACCATTTTAGCAGTTATTAATGTAAAGAAATACACGTAAAATACTGCGTACAGAGTATTTCATAGGCTGTATAATTCAATAAGTATAAGTACAAAAACAAATGTTTTGTCAGTTATGAGTGCGGGTAATTACTGAAAAAAGGTATGTGTATTACATAAGTAAATGCTAAACATTCCTGTGACGCACAGTCACCATAATCACAAGATAAACAGAAAAGGTCGACTCAGTAAAACAAATTACATTAAACTCAACAAAACTGATTACGTTTACAGATTCATGTACATTAAACATTAGATTACATTTTATCCAATTTCATGACATTTTCACTGAACACTTTATACTTATGAATATTTTTCTTCTATCATTGAATTTTTATTTTTCAGCAATAAAAGTCTACATTATACCGACGGTAACTGTGAGCTTATTAGTAATGTGTTCAATCTTCTTTTCGCCAAGAGTTTTGTTTTATACATATGAGCTAAATTCCGGAGAAAATTACGTATGTCAAACGTTCAACGGCAGATTGGGCAATCACCTGTATCAGTATGCGTCTATTTATGGCATATCAAAAGTAAACAACTTGACAATAATTCTGGGAAGAAATGATGACCTTGTTAGATACTTTGAAGTTCCAACTGCCCGGGTATTTGTGAATAGGGATGTTTGTCAGACATTTGTTGAAAAATTCGCAAACCATTGCTGTGTTTTTGATGAAACTTTTATGAACTTGCCGAAAAATCAAAACTACAAGCTCGGTGTGTATCTTCAATCATGGAAATATTTTCAACATGTTTTTGAGGAAGTGCGAAACGAATTGACATTCAAGAAAGAAATTAGAGTAAAAGCTAAGCATGTAGTTAATAATTACAGGAATATTTATATAGCCAAATATAAAGAAAATGTGACAGTTGTAGGTGTGCATATAAGACGAGGAGATATTGCTTCAGAAAGTTTCAAATTAGGAGGTGTGGTACTTGTACCGGACTCTTATGTAAGACATGCTGTGGATTATTTTCTAGAAAAGTTTAAAAGTGTCGTATTTATAGTGTGTTCTGATGATATTAATCACGCTGTTGAAGTGATGCGGTACAAAAATGTATCGGCAGAATTTGTTCACCAGCAACCGATATATGATCTTGCCATTTTGTCGCACTGTGATCATGTATTAACAACCAGTGGGTCGTTTGGTTGGTGGGCGGGTTTTTTGTCACGTGGTACTGTTACGTATTACAAATATCCAATGAAAGAAGGAACATTTGAAAGATCTGAATATAATTATGATGACTATTTCCCTCCTGTCTGGATAGGTTTAGATTAATTTTTTTAGAATTTTTGTAAGCATTCAAATGTATGGTTCAAGATAAGGTGTTTGACTAGACCCTGTCCATATTTTCGCATAACCATTAAGAAATACCTTACTCCTAGTCTCTGGAGTATTTGGGTTTATTTGATATAAAAATATAGAGTTTATAAACATCTTTCTTTATTTGCATTTTTTTGTTCACAATTACTTTGTTTACAATATGCCACTTTTATGAGTAATTATTTCAATATCCTATCGCTACTTTTTCAGGTAACAAGCATCTAACATTTCTCTAAAGCCATTATTTATACATTGTAAATTTTATGTGTGTCCTTTCTAAAGACACAAACACGTATTTGTTATAATAATGTGCCTTTAAATAAAATTCATTAAACTTACCCCTATGGAGGATAATTGACATATTTTCCTAATGTAACTGAAATATTTAATTTATATGAAGCACTTTCTTATTTGAGGTTCATTGGAGATGAATATTCGTTGTGTAAAAAACAATACACATTGTCTATTCGAGCGGCTAAAAAAAAAAACAACAACAAACAACAAGCTTTGATCAAAGTTTATCGTCTCTTCAAATCGAAATATTAAGCAAAGTGCATAACAGTTACATCTTTTGTAGGTTGCCCGATGTAATAAAAATGGAATTCCAGGACCATGTGTTGCAGTTTGTCACTGGGTTATCATTTTGTTCTATAAGGTCTAGAAACTATGCACGCTCATTACGCAACGTTGTACGTAAAATGTTACAGATGTATAATGATGATATTATTACTTTTAATATTCAGAAGGTTTAGAATCGATGCATGAGCATTCAAACTTATTTTTTTATTTAAGTTTGCATAACGCAAATTTCCTGGGCCTCACAAAAAATATTCAAACGTGATTAATTTTGAAAAAGAACATCCGATGAAACGTAACTTGTCGTATTTAGATACAAAAAAGTTGATTAAGTTGGTAACGTTATTGTTTATCTTATCGCAAATGTGTAACTTGTAAGATAATTGCACTGCCCTTTACCATTTATTAAAGCTCTTGATTATAGTTTAAGTACATTGTATGACATAAATGAAATGAGTTAAAGTTTGAGAAATGTCTGCTTTCTTTTGATGTCCGACATAGCAAAGTTGAAATATTGCAATAAAATGAACATAACTATATTTTAGATTAGATATCGCACGTGTCTCCCTTTCTTATCTCAAATATTAATGACAAATATTATAGTCCAAGTACTTCGTAATATGATTTATATGTTATAATCTTAAATCAAAGATAATGAATTTTCCCATGAAATAATTGAAATGTTTAAAATAAATCATACATGCTGAAGTGTAAGGAGTGACTCTTGCGAGTTTTACTGTATTTTTTCATCTAATCAAAACGCTATATCTTTGAATATCTAAGACAATATTGTGTTAACATCAAAGAAGAGGAATTTTTCATAAATACATTTTAATTTTGTATATTTGACTAAAGTTAACATAATATTTAAATATTAAAGGCACATTATGCATCAGAAATCCATGATTTTTTTAATTCTTTAAAAATGTGAAACATGTGTATAATAAAACGATTACGCATGTTCACATGTAATTATTGATTGATCCCTACTCTGACCTTTTATTTGAATCACAATAGATTTAACCACAATCATTTACATGTGTTCTTTTGTTAACAAAAAATGTGGTGAAATTCTTATTTTATCCGCTAAGGATCTATGCATTGTTCAAGAAGATAAATATTTTTGTCGGATATAAATAAGTCCCAAATATTTACATAAATAACCGTGTGTGCATTTGTTTATTTGTGTTACATTCATGTAAACATTCATGAATCACATTTTAAGCTGCACGCCTCCAGTTGAGCCAAAATATTTCAAGAAAATCAATATTGAGAAAAACTTACTAACATTTTAAGAAAGGTAAAAACATTCAAAATCCATGTTAAATTGTACAGTCACGTTATGTGCGGTTTAAGACTGATTTTGCGGTATTTATCATCATATTTCTACTGCGTTAGCTGTTTTTGCATATGTTTACCACTTTTTGATCATTTTCTTGGATTTTTCATAAAGAAATCAATAATACATTTGAATGATGGCTTGATCCTCCATTCAGCAGTCACCTGTCTTAAGCTGACAAAATGACTGCATCCCTTGACTGAGTGCTTGAGACAGTTTTAAGTATATAGAAAAGGTTTAAGTTATTGATTTAAGGCATGTTAGATGTTAAACACTTTAATAAAGTCCGCTAAACATGCAGTAATGTGACAAAAAGGTAGCAAAATGTAGAACTAAGCAGTATTTTGACATCCATGCAAATGTTAAATTACTACAACAGTTACTATAGAAATTCTCAACGGAGCAAAGGGAGCACAATATGCCAAAAGAGTATTTTTCGAAACTTTAACAAGATACCAAAAATAAAAAAGCTTTTGTGAATTTTGTGAATTAAAGCATTTCTGAGGCTAATTTAGCCTTGAAACAGTTTTGTTCTAAAATAGCTAATTTGAATGACTCCTTACACATTAAATGCACTTAATCATGACACTAATATTTAAATAATGTGAAAAAGTTTACATACAGTAGATGACTTGGGAACTTACACAGCAGCAACCAATTTTAAAGGTAAATAATTTATGTACACTATAGTACGGAAGCGTCCTGGTGCCAATTCATAATGTTCTATAAAAAATAAACTCCTACGTAGGAGATTAAAAAGCCTAATTATGAGTTTGTAACTCCTACATAGTAAGTAATAAAGTCCTACGTAGGTTTTTATAACTCCTACGTAGGAGTTTATAAGTCCTACGTAGGAGTTTATAAATCCTACGTAGGACTTTATAACTCCTACATAGGAGATAAAAAAAGCCTAATTAGGAGTCTGTAACTCCTACGTAGGACTTACAAACTCCTACGTAGGACTTTATAAATCCTACGTAGGCGTTAAAAAGCCTAATTAGGAATTTATAAAGTCCTACGGAGGACTTTATAAGTCCTACATAGGAGATAAAAAACCTAATGAGGAGTTTATAACTCCTACGTAGGACTTTGTAACTCCTACGTAGGACTTTATAACTTCTACGTTGGAGATATAAAAACCTAATAAGGAGTTTAAAAGTCCTACGTAGGACTTACAAACTCCTGCGTAGGACTTTATAACTCCTACGTAGGAGTTAAAAAAGCCTAATTAGGAGTTTATAACTCCTACGTAGTACTTTTTAACTCCTACATAGGACTTTGTAAGTCCTACGTACTACATAGGACTTTGTAAGTCCTACGTATGACTTTGTTACTCCTACGTAGGAGATAAAAAAAAGCATAATTAGAAGTTTATAACTCCTACGTAGGATTTTATAACTCCTACATAGAACACTTAAAAAGACCTACGTAGGAGTTATAAACTCCTATGTAGGACTTTAAAACTCCTAATTAGTTTTTTTTATCTCCTACGTAGGAGTTATAGAGTCCTACGTAGGACTTATAAAGTCCTATGTAGGAGTTATAAACTCCTAATTAGGCTTTTTAACTCCTACGTATGAGTTAAAAAGTCCTACGTCGGAGTTTGTAAGTCCTACGTAGGACTTTAAAACTCCTAATTAGGTTTTTATATCTCCTACGTAGGAGTTATAAAGTCCTACGTAGGAGTAACAAAGTCCTACGTAGGAGTTATAAACTCCTAATTATGCCTTTTTTATCTCCTACGTAGGACTTTATAAAGTCTTACGTAGGAGTTATTTTTTTCATAGAAAATATTAAATTGGCACCAGGACGCTTCCGTACTATAGCGCCGTTTTTTTTCACTTAAAAATGTTGATCTTATAAAAATAGAATTAAAGACAAAACAGTTTTGAAATATTTTTAATATATTTTATGGAAAAAAACAAACAAAAACAACAACAACAACAAAACACCGTATGTAAACAATGGAAACAATTAAACCAAAAAGTAGTTCTTAACAAAATTTACTCTTATAATTATGTAAGTTTATTATGTCATTGCGACCATAAAGAAGTAGGTATTGAATTTAAGGTAAAATAAGAACGCTGCTAAGATGAGTAAAGAGCTCTTCTTTTTCACCATTGTATCTGAATCTTCTTTCCTGCAAATTATCAGACTTAAATGTTACAATACACACTAACCATTCCCATTTAAAATATGTCGCAATCCACAAAGATAAGGTTTATCTGTAGGGGTATAAACTCCGACAGAAATGTAAGCTCCTAAACATAGTTGATTTATCTCTCTTGATTTTAGAAATTTAAAAGCTGCATGCCTCCAGATGAGCTTAACTATTTGAAGAAAATCAATATTGAGAAAAATGTACTAAAGATTTAAGAAAGGTATAAACATTCAAAATCCAAGTGATCTTTTATATGTTATATGCGGTTTATGACTGCTTTTGCAGTATTTTATCATGATACTTCTACTGCGTTACTAACACAGTAAGGGCTGTTTTTGCATATGTTGACCACTTTTTGGTAATTTTCTTGAATCGTAAGTGCCGATTGTAATATGGAAATTGCTTTATTTATTCATCGCACACTATTTTACTTTTAAATACATTTCCAAAATTGTTATGCAAATTAACATGACTCGTGCTGATTTAAATACTCATTCAAATTCTATTAAAAAGGGAAAGAACTCAATCGATGCATCTTATTGATAACACCGTCTGGTTGGACATGCCGATGATAATATGTTATGGTTTTGATACTGAAAAAGTTAAATAAAAAATAAAAAGGAAAATGAATACGGGTATCAGTATCTTCACTTAAACACTATTTCTTTAATTGTTCAAGATGTTGCAAAAGACTAAGTTGTCGAGATATTAAAGCGGCCCTCAGCTTTAAAAAAAAAAAAAATATATTATTTTTTTATTATTATTTTTTAAGATAAATCATTTCAATTAATTGTCAAATCAAAAGAATTAAGTTGGTAAATAAAATTTGCCGATAAAATACATAAACATAAGGAAAGCCCTGGATACCTCTAATCCTCAGGTCCGCTCAGCAAAGCGGGTGATTCATTTCCTAGAAAACGAACGTCACATACGCGTTATATATATAAATACCAGGATGCTGTTTTGTAGAAGGTTTGACAGTGATATGATGCATTTTTCCAGGATAAAATTACTGAAATACAAAGTTGAAACAACACAGAATTATTTTTCCAGCTGAAGGTCGCTTTAAGCTTTAATTGGGTTTTATGTTCAAATCTCCATGCTAGTGCTTTAAAAAAAGTTTTTATGGATTCGTTCAAGCTAATACTTTAACTGCTTTAGAAAACATTAAAACAGTACCACGAATGTCTGTATAATCTATTTGAATGGCATTTCTGTGTGTACTGTTTTCAAGAAATGATGGATGGCATTGACCTTTTTGCGGGGATGGATGTCTTATCTTTTTTGTATCATGACCTTCATACAAATTAACTGATGATAAATGATTCTTGGTTGTATCTTCGTGTATCATTTATCTTCTAAATTGACAGGTGATTCCCATTGAGGTATGACAGTGCCACCAATTATATAACTGTTCTGCAATGTTAG